TCTGCTTGATTTTCCCAGTCACTCCTTAACATGGTTTGTTTAAATTAAAAATAAATAAAGACCATTTCTTAAAATTGTGTTTTAGGTGAAAATTTACCCGGAAAATTAGATTCCGATTTTAACAATTGAGGCCCAAATTGTCCTGTGACATGATTAGCCATTCCCCAAACCAAACCCACTGTCATCAAATTCACTTGGACGCATAGCGACCCAGTTCAGTTTCTGAGATGGAATCTTTCTGGGAGCAGACGGCCTCCTTTCTCCAGGAAGCAAGAGCTAAAATCCCATCAGCACCTTCTCCATTTCCATCATACCGGCTCCCTTCCATCCACCCTGAGTCCCTGCCCTCCCTGCCTTCCCACCTCTGCTTTTGTGTGCATGCTGATGGTTTGGCTACTCTAGTTGATTGTTTCGAGGAGTGTACTCCTGTTGTGCTCCAATAAATAAAATCATTGTTTATTTTATAGGCCACTTTGCAAGGTGACCTCCGGAAGTGGCTTCAGTTCCAGGTTAGGAGGCAGTCGTCTGAGGGGTTCCTCTAGTGCAGTGGTCCTCAACCTTCCTAATGCCGGGACCCTTTAATGCAGTTCCTCATGTGGTGGTGACCCCCCAACCATAAAATTATTTTCGTTGCCACTTCATCACTGTCATTTTGCTACTGTTATGAATCGTCATGTAAATATCATATCGGATACACAGGATGTATTTACATCGTTACAAATTGAACATAATTAAACATAATTAAAGCATAGTGATTCATCACAAAACAATATGTAATTATATATTGTGAAATATTTATTTCTGATTACAAAGAAATGAAATTTTGTTTTGAAGCATGGTGTAGCACAAGTAACAGTCTTAATATAACAACTGTAAACTACATTGCTACATTTTGCGACAGTACGCGTACAAAGCCAACAATCAGTGCGAGGACTGAGATAGCTTCTTTCTCACCAGATCAGCACGTTTGCGTGTGGGCGGACCTGCCTGGAGATGGATAGAGCAGCGGTGTCTCGGTTCCTAAGACCATTGGAAATAGGTGCTTTCCGATGGTCTCAGGCGACCCTTGTGAAAGGGTCGGTCCACCCAAAGGGGTCACGACCCACAGGTTGAGAACCGCTGCTCTGGTCTCTATTTAGCCCAGTAAGCCTGTTTTCTTTTGTGTTTGAGTTCTACCTTTTTGTCCTTCCCATGTATCTTGGTCTTCTCTCCCCGCTAGAATGCAGTCACCAGGGCAGGGACTCTGTTTTGCCACCAGCATCGGATCCCTGCGTGGCACCTCGGAGACGGTCTGCAAAGAGGAAGTGCTGGTTGGAAAGCGTGAAGGAATGCCTTAGGTTGTGTGCTAGAATAAGCGGTCTTATTTCAGTGACTGCAGAGTCCCAAGCAGCCGTGGGATAAGAAGCGAATCTGTGTGGCTTTGACTTCCTGGCGTGGTAGCATGGTCAAGGTGTTTGGTGGGTTTCCGGCAGTCCTGTGTAGTGGCTACCGTGTGAGGGTTGCTTCGAGAAGGTGTGGTCCTGGGAAAGGGCTCCGTGTAGCATTGCTTCTCAAACTTGGATGAGTGCAAAGAAGAAAACGTGCAGGAGCCCACAGGTCTTGTCAAACTGTTGATTCACACTCTGCAGGTCCAGGGTGGTGCCTGTGAGCCCGTATGTATAACCGCTCCTGGGGTGCCCCTCTCTTAACGCTCGAGAATTGGGGTGCTAAAGCCAAAGGGCAGCCCAGGTCAACAAAGGAAGCATTTGAAAGACTGCTTGTTGGAGCCCATATAAATATTTTCGGGTCTTGAACCCATTGAGCTAAGAACCATTTGATTGCTTTTATTAGTAAGAAACAGATTCCTGTTCATGACGAAAAATCAGAAACACTGAGTGGCAGGGAGCGAGCACATAAAACCCACCTTCTCTCCATGTGAGGAAAACATCACACACTCTGCAGATCCACCTGTTGTGCATATTGTCACAGCTGATGTACTGTGTTGTGTCCCTGACTCGTTTTGTTGTTGAGAATAAGCACAACAGAACATTGTGAGCAGATGCCCGGAACAGGGACCGTCCTTGGAGCCTGAAGAACAGATCAGGAGCCACTCGCTTGATTATTTATGGGAAGGTTCCTTTTGGAAGTGCAGTACTGTGACCCCAGGGTGGCTGGCAGGGGCTGGGCTTGGTCTTCACTGTACACACACACACACACACACACACACACACACACACACACCCCGTCACCACCACCAAATAAGCAAGGGTTTTATACTTTCGCGGGTAGGGAAGGGGAGGGGGACTGGAGCAGCTGTGCTGGTTGTGGGCCCGCCGTTAGCACCTTGCGAACTGTTCTTCCAAAATGACGTTGGTGGTAATGTACTCTTGGTGGCAAGCTCTGGCACTAGGCCTTGCTTGGGAGGGGCAGCCTGGGGGGAGGCGATGGACAGGACATATGGGGGAAATCATTTGCCTGACAAATTTACAGCAGGTCAGCGGGTTCAGTGCCATGGATTATAATCATCAGTGCCGTGGATTATTATCAGTGCCCTGGATTAGAGCTTCAGAACATGCAATGCTTCTCCCCTGGTCTGGGCAGAAGGCCGGCTTCAACGGCCCCAGTGTTGCCATTCCAGGCTGGGCTACACCTTGCTGAACAAATCTGTTATTGGATGTGGACCTTATTTTCAAAAGTGATTACGTGTAGCCAATGTAGGGCATAGTTTTCTTTTGTATTTTTTTAATTAATCATTTAATTGGGGGGGTTGTCTTGCAAATCTTGTAACAATTCACCGTTCAGTTGCATTAAGCACACTTGCACAGATGTTGCCATCAGTGTTGCCAAAACAATTTCTTTCTACTTGAGCCCTTGGAATCTGCTCCTCTTTTTTCCCCCTCCGTCCCTCTCCCACCCACGCTCCTGAATCCTTAATGTAGGTAATTTAGTTCCTCGGTTTCCTTTTTTCCTACCACCACCCCCTCCCCTGGCACTCCCACCCTTTTTGCTGTTGTTGTTGTTGCAGTTCATGTTTTGAAAACTCCTCTGCTCTGGTCCCTTCTGCCTTCCGATCTGCAAACGCGTGTGAGTGAGTCACAGTCTTCCCGTGGTGTTAGTGTGTGATTTGTCCTGAACATGGATTTGCTGGGACTCCATCTACCCACCTCATGTTTCTCTTTGCGTCAGTGACGGCAGGTTTTCCACAGGAGACGCAGCGCTGCAGCTATCAAACCAAACAAGTGTGAGGCAGCGACACCGTGTCCTGAGCACCTTCTGCGCACCCCCACCCCTGCCTTCCAGTGGGGAGGCTGGTCTCCAGGAAAACACGGCCGTAAACAAAGTTCTCTGGACACCTACTGCCTGACAATGCTGTTTATTTTTATTGAAGGTGACTGTCGACTGGCCACCCTGTAACATGTGGCAACCTTGACCTTTGTACTTGCACCTGTGGGAGCGTTCTGTTCAGTGGCAGGCACAGACAACATGACTTCTTCCTTGATGGCATTTCTAAGGAATTCCCAGAGTCATACAAGGGTACCTTAACAAGTTGGTGGACAAAATGAAATTAAAAGATAATGGATTCCCCCCCCCCATAAACTCTTTGTAGTCCTTTTGTACAATGTAAATAAATGAATGGCAACATATATATTTATATTAACAAACCCAGTGAAGTCTGTGTGTGTGTGTGTGTGTGTGTGTGTTTATACAAGGCAATGGCTCACCCAGCTGTAGAGGTGAGCAAGTTCGAAGTCTGTGGATCATATGTCAGACTGGACGCTTCTGACTCATGTAGCCGACAAAGCCAATGAATGCAAAGTCGGCAGGTCAGGTTGCAGGCTTCCGATTCCAGTCTAAAGAATCAGAGGTCAGATGTCAAACCAGATACAGGATTCAAACCCAGCCAAAACCAAGCAAGCTTTCCCACAGTGTCCACTCAGCAATGAAGCACCCAGCGTTCTCGAGGATTGCTTTATGCTAGATCTCATTATTCGGGTTTACTGTATCTTAACTGCCAAACCACTGAGGACCCTGGCCAGCCAAGTGGACACAAAACCTTAATGATCCCAGCATGTGTCTTGAAATGTATTAACGAGTGGGTTTTAAACTGTGTCTGGACTTTGAATGCTCCTCTCCTCTCCTAGGGTTTGAGCATGGGATGGGAGAAGAGGTCAGAGCCCTAGAGAAGCCACTGAACTGTGTTTTTCGACGTCTGTATGATCTGTCTTTTGGATGACCAAGTGCAGGCTCTTGCATCTTAGCCAAGTCTTGGTTGTTGTGATGTTGTCAGTTGCTTTGGAGTTGCTTCTGACTCACGGCAGTGACATGTATTCCAGGATGGAACTGCTCCATAGGGTTTTCTCGGCTGCAGTCGTCACTGAATGCACCCTGGTTGGTGAAAATGGTTAAGTGTCGGAGTACAAACCAAAAGTTGACAATCTAAACCCACGCAGAAGCACTTGGACGACAGATCTGACTCTCTGCTTCTGTAACAGCAGAGTCTCAACCTGTGGGTCGCGACCCCTTTGGGGGTGGAACGACCCTTAGACAGGGGTCGCCTGATTCATAACTAACAAAATTACAGTGATGAAGTAGCAATGAAAATAATTTTATGGTGGGAGTGGGGAGTCATCACAACATAGGAACTGTATTAAAGGGTCTTGGCATTAGGAAGGTTGAGAACCACTGTTCTATAAGGTCACAGCATTGAAACCCATTGTGTTAGTCTGGGTTGACTAGAGAAACCAATTCATAGACACTTGTGTGTAAGAGAGAACTGTATATCAAAGATCAATTGTACATTAAGAAAACATCCCAGCCCAGTCCTGGTCAAGTCCATAATTCTAATATTAGCTCCTATGTCCATTACCAGTCTATAAATTTTTCTTCAATTCATGCAGCACATGCAATGACACCAAATGCAGGAAGAAAGATCACAGGCCAGTGGGTGGAAAGTCTTGTGGATCCAGTGGTGGTGGAAGCATCTCAGCACTGGTGTGGGTCTCCTTGTGGCTCCTCCAGCTCCAGGGCTCTGGCTTCATCAGTGTAGCACATCTGGCTTGTCAGTAGAAAGAGGAAACAGAGAGTGAGTCTGCCCTCCAGTGAGCTATTTATTTCCTTCATGCCTCCAAAGGAGGTCATCAAGCTGCGACCTGATTAACAGGCTAGATTCCACCCCTTCTCAAGTTGACAGGAGATTATGTAACTGCCACACCTATGTGGACCCTTCGGGATCACCACGAGTCAGACTTACTTGTACAGCAAATAACAACACCCTGTCCAGAAGGAGATTGCCGGGCCTTCCTTCCACAGCACCATGGGGTGGGTTTGGAGGACCAACTTTTCGGTTGGCCAAAAAACCAAACCAAACTCACTGCCATCAAATTCATGCCGAGTCACAGCGACTCCTGTAGGACTGGGTAGAACTGCCCTGTGGGGTTTCTAAGACTGTAACTCTTAAAAAAAAAAAATCACGTTTTTTTATTTAATCCTTTTATTGGGAGCCCTTACAAATATCATACTATCCCATAGTTCCATCACCTCACGCAGTATTGTACAATTGCTACCACAATCAGTTTCAAACATTCTTTTCCTTCTTGAACTCCTTGATAGAGGCTCCTTTTTATACCCTCCCATCCCCAACCTACCCTCCAGGAGCCCTTATTTTCTATATTTTACACATCCAGTATATCCATTCACATACATTTCTGTTGTTCGATCCCATCGAGTGGGATTATCTAAGACTGCAGCTCTTTACGGGAGTAGAAAACCCTGTCTTTCTCCCTCAGACCAGCTGATGGTTTGGAACTGCTGACCTTGTGATTAGCAGCCCAAAGAATAACCATTATGCCAGTAGGGCTCCACTCAGGTGCAAATTGTTGGGGCCTTCAAAGTTTTGGGTCAGTGCTTCATCAGAAAGATAATTCAAAACCTGTTGAGGCCAGACCATACCTGGATTCCTGAGTGACTGCGATGGGCTGGCTGATTACAAAGGACAGGTGAGCTGGGGTGGTAGATTTCAAGTATGTCCAAGGTTAAGGGCATGCCTTTTTAGCTTACCTGTACAGCTAGTGTTCCTGTTGCTACGTCAGGCTGTTTTTCTCTGGCCGTAAATCCGTGGTGGTGATCCGGATTGTTTGTTTATGCCAGCAACTAAATGTTGTGTGTGCTTTAAGTCCTAGTCAGAATGACACGGATGAACAGAAATGGGGGTGGTGGAGAGAGGAGAGAGACACTTCTGTTTGGGGCAGTTAGTAAGACATGGTGTCCTTGGACGGCAGGATGAACTGAAAGATTGACAGGTCAAACTTACCTGGGAAGACAGGCTTGGGGGTCTGCTTCCGAGAGGTCGCGGCCTTGAAAACACTATGGAGCTCAGGTCTGCACTGCAGTGCACGGGGTCATTCCGAGTCGCAATCGATTCGAATGCAATGAACAACAGTCCCTGTGAATCAGTTTTCCTATCGTGAGGAGCAAACGGAAAAGCCCTCACAGCTACAGGTTTCAATGCGCAGGATGCTAACGGGTGTGAAATGCAAGTGGACAGTCAAGGACTGGCTGTCAGGTGAGAAGGATGAGCAGGGGGCGGTGGGCGAGGCTTGGCAGGGACTCAGTGCAAGTCATGAGACCAGGTGTTGACATGCATTCCAGGCGCATATTGATGTGGCCTGACCTAATGTCCCTGAAGGTCCTCAAGTGACATTTTCCTGTCAGTGAAAGACATACTTTTCCAGGGACCCTTTCAAATTTGGGTAGAGTTCACCTAAGTGCAGACCTGTGTTAAACCAAAGTGAGGTCCACTGTCTGGTGCCAAGAGATGAGCAGAGTCATGGAGAACTAGTGTAAGTTTAGAGTAAGTGTGGAGATGTGGTTGCACCACTCAGGGGTGGTACCAATGGTTACCTGTACGCTGGTGCTCAAGTGCACTCAGAGATGCCTCCTAAGAAATGCCTGGTGATCTGCTTTCTAAACAGCAGCCACTGAAAAGGTTATGAAACACAGTTCTAGTCTGACACACATGGGGTTGCCTTGCATTGCGGTTGACCTGATGGTTCTTACCATTTGACACTGTGGCCACACCCAAGTGAATGATAGCCTTTTGGCTCTACTTCTTCTAACACAGATTTGTTTGTTTTGGGGGTTCAAGGTATATTCAATATTCTTCACCAATACCGTAATTCAAAGGCATCAGTCCTTCGGTCTGTCTTATTCATTGCCTAGTGTTTTGTGTGCCTTGAGACAAGTGAAGATACCAAGGCTTGGGTGAGGCACTTTTGCTCTCAAAGTTCTATCTTTGTGCTCTCACACTTTAAGACAATGGTTCTCAACCTGTGGGTCGCGACCCCTTTGGGGGTCGAACGAACGGCCATTTCACAGGGGTCGCCTGATTCATAACACCAAAATGACAGTGATGAAGCAGCAATGAAAATAATTTTATGGTTGGGGGGTCGCCACCACATCAGAAACTATATTAAAGGGTCTCGGCGTTAGGATGGTTGAGGACCACTGCCCTAAGAGGTCGCGTGCAGGAGATTTGCCCTGTGTAACATGGCCTTTACTCTCCTGACTGCGGCTCCTGCTGGCATTGGTTGCGGCTTCAAGTAAAATTAGATCGTTGACAATTTTCATATTTTCCCCTTTTGTTATGTTGCTTTATGGTCCTGTTGGGAGGATTTCTCTTTTCTTTATGTCGAAGTATCCATATTAAAGGCTGTAGTCTTTGGTCTTCATTAACTCAAAAACTCACTGCCCTTGAGTCAACATTGACCCCAGGACAGGTAGAACTGCCCCTCTTTCTCACTCAGAATCACTGGTGGTTTCAAACTGCTGACGTTGTGGTTAGCAGCCCAACACATAACCACTATGCTACCGGGACTCCTTTAATCTTGATTAGTGAGTGCTTTAAGTTCTTTTTGCTTTCAGCAAGCAAGATTGTGTCATCTGCATATTGCAGGTTGTTAATGAACCTTGCTCCCATCCTGATGTGTTTCTTCTTCACGTAGTCCAGCTTCTCAGTCTTTGCTTAGCACACAGGCTGAATAAATCGGATGAAATGATACAACCCCGACTCATACTTTTTTTGATTTTAAATATGCAGTAGTTCCTTGTTCTGTTTGAATGATTTCTTCTTGGCCTAAGTAGTTTCAGCATGAGCACAATGAAGGCTTATGGAATTCCCATTCTTCTCAAGGGTGTCCACAGTTTATTGTGGTCCACACAGTCAAATGCCTTTGACTAGTCAATGAAACACAAGCAAACATCTCTCTGGTATTTTCTGCTTTTAGCCAGCGTCCATCTGGTGTCAGCAGTGATCGTCCTCATTCCACATCCTTTTCTGATTCCAGCATGGGTTTCTGGCAGCTCCCTGTCACTGTCCCGCTGCAACCCTCTTTGAACAACCTTCAGCAAAACTTTATTTGCATTTGATATTCATGATATCATTAGAGACTTTCTCCACATTCTGTTGGGTTACCTTTCTTTTAAACGGACATAAACATGGACTTCTTCCAATTGGTTGGCCTAATTTATTTTTTTAACATAGATGAAGGAGTGCTTCCAGTGTTGCATCTGTTAGTGGAAACATCTCAGTTGATGTTCCATTAATTACTAGAACCTTGCCCTTTTGCCAAGTGGTTTAAATGGACTGTTAGCCTACCAGCAGCACCCCCAGAGAAAGATGCTGCTGCCTGCTCCTGTAAAGATTTACAGCTTTGGAATGGATGGATGTATGGATTGTGAGCCCCCCCCCAATAAACTGATTAAAAAAAAAAAAGATTTACAGCCTTGGAAACCTTAAGAGGTAATTCTCTCTTCCATAGGGTTGGAATCCGCTCCATGACGTTGTTCTGTTTTGCACCAAATGCCTTCAGTACTGCAGCACAGGCTTCCTCCTTCAGTAACAGTGGCTCGTGATCATGTCTTACCTTGACTGTCCAGCAGTTCTTTTTGGTACAGTGACTGTGTATTCCTTCCATTTTCTTTTGATGTTTCATGACTCATTCAATTTTATCCATAGAATCCATATTGCAACTTGAGGCTTGATCTTCCCCCCCTCCCCCAACCTTTTCGTTCTTTCAGTTTGAGAAATGCTTGGAGTACTCTATCTGTGGTTTTCTAATTACAGGTCTTAGTACATTTTGGATAATACTTTGTCTACTTAAGCCAGTCTTTGAAATTCTCTGTTTTGTTCTTTCCATTACGTCTTCCTGTCGTTTTAGCTCTATGTTCAAGAGCAGGTTTCTTCTGACACCCATTAAAAAAAAAATTATTGGCTTAAACTGATCCCCTCCCTAGAAGTTTGTGCTACAGAGGACAACACTAAACCTGCAGGTTAGGGAGAGGGACTGGCCTATGTATACTTGGAAACAAACCAAGAAGGGAAAAGAGAGAGTGAGGTTCTAGACCCCATATCGGCACACCAAGCCTGGCAGACGATGTCCCTGCATGGAGCTGCTAAGGCACAAAGAGGACTGTAGGGCCAACAACATGATGTCCCCTCGCTGGAGCATACCGAGACAGAGGACAATACTGGGGACACACAGCGGGGAGTGAGTTCAGTCTGAACCCCCCACAGCAAGGTGAACCAAGAAGGGAACATAACAGGTCAGCAACGGGAGCAAACCAAAGCCGCAAGGCCCCTGAGGAGCCCCCAAAATAGACTTCAGGCTAGGAGGAGCAGTTCCCGGAACCCCCTAGGACCAGTGGGGATAGATGGTCATAAAGGTCAGTGGACAGACCTGGAATTATCTATGTTATTTCAGGTTTTTTGGCTAGTTATTATTCTTCTTTATATATTTATATTTTTAAAATTTATTTTCGTATTGCCTATGTTATTGTTGCTTTGCCTCCCTATATAAGATAGGTTTATGGGAAGCAAGCCCGAGGAGAAAGCAATAGGACCGACGGTTCCAGAGGGACTTAGGGAAAGGGTGGGGTGGGGGAAGGGAGCGGTGAGCAAGTTGAGCCATAGACAGGGGAACAACTAGGGAATTAACATCAACAACGAGGAGGACATAGAGATCCTGGGGGTGTTGGAGCAACAGCAATCTAGCTGAGAGGCATTACTAAGAGGCTGATAGGGGCGAGTGTGATGGTGGGAAAGGAGGAAGGTAAAAGGAAACAGGACAGATCTAGGAAGCAAAACTATGGATAGAGGGATAAACATAGGGGTGCACTTATGTAAACATTAATTCATAAAAATAGAGGTATTGGCTTATGTACATATATTTATATGGCAATACATGGAGGAAGGGGGCAGACTTTGGGCTTCTATTTAAGCCCTCCCTCAACGCGAGAACACTTTGTTCTAACAACCTGGCATTTTGTGATGCTCAGCCTTCTGTCATGATTGCTGAAGACAAAATGGGTGCACAAGCAGATGTGGTGAAGAAAGCTGATGGTGCCCAGTTATCAAATGATATAGAAGCACACCAGCCTGTGCAACCATTGGTGTTGATGGGAGCAGCTAACAGGCACCAGAAGACCACAAACAAACAAACAAACAAAAAACCATATTGTTGAGAATGAGGGGGGTCGGAGCAGAGACCCAAAACTCATCTGTAGACAATGGGACATCCCCTCACAGAAGGGTCCAAAGGAAGGGATGAGTCAGGGCACAGTATAGCACTGACGAAACACACAATATTCCGCTGGTTCCTTGAAGCTTCCTCACCCCCCACTATCATGACTTCAATCCTGCCTTTCACTGCGGGCTAGGCTGGAGCATGTGCACAGGTACAGATAAACGCTCAGGACACACGGAATGCAGGTCAGATAAACCCCTCAGGAATAGAAATGGGAGTAGTGATGCCAGGAGGGTAAGGGGAAGGTTTAGAGATGAGCGGGGAAGAAACCGCAGGGAAGGGAGACAGCGGTCAGTGTAAAATATGAAATTAATCATAATTTATAATTTATCAAGGGGTCACAAGGGTGGAAGTAGGGGAGGAAGGGTAGAAAAAGGAGCTAGCTGACACCAAGGGCTCAATAGAATGTACATGGTTAGAAAATAATGTTAGCAACATAAGTACAAATATGCACAAATATGCTTGATACAATTGGTGTATGGATTGTTATAAGAGCTGTAAGAGCCCCCAATAAAATGATCTTTTAAAAAACAATTTATTGGCTTGCCCCTAGTCAGCACAAATAAACTTTAGTCTGTATACTTGCTTATTATAAGTTGTCATTACAGGTGAGATGATAGAATGAGAAGTCCAAAAACATTGCTCCACGATTCCAGTTCATAGGGGTTTATGCCACATAAGGTGTCTTTAAACTTCTCTTTGTGATCAGTGGATGGCTACACATAGATTTTTCTTAGTAACATACTTACCTTCATCTTCTTAGGGTGCCTTTGAAAAATAAGTCTTTCAAAATAAGTAGCTTTTAAAGCAATCTGCTGGGCTAAAGTCAAGGTGGAATGGTAGTTTAGAAGGTATGATGTCTGTTTTGGGATCCCAAAGGGACAGTGGGTGATCATGGAGACTTATTATTAAAA